CTGAGTCCAGTGCGTAACTAAGTTTTGTGCCTTTCTAAGTCCTGAGTCCAGTGCGTTACCAAGTCCTGTGCCTTTCTAAGGCCTCAGTCCAGTGCATTACTAAGTCCTGAGTCCAGTGCGTTACTAAGTCCTGATCCAGTGCGTTACTAAGTCCTGAGTGCAGTGCGGTACTAAGTCCAGAGCGTTACTAAGTCCAGTGCCTTTCTAAGTCCTCAGTCCAGTGCATTGCAAAGTCCCGAGTCCAGTGCATTGCAAAGTCCTGAGTCCAATTCATATACTGTTCTGCATTGCTGTATAATATATTACTGGCATTTGTAGTCCCCCTACAGACGGTGCCATTCTGCATGAGAGCGTAAGCTCCTCTGTACAGAGACTAATGTGACTAGCTCAATGTTCTCTGTACAGCACTGTGGTATATGTCAGAGCTATATAAATGTATAATAATAGTGTGAGACTGTGGGGGGACATTAGAGTGTAACCTCCTCTGGTGCAGAGATCGCCAGGGGTGTTGGGGGGCCAGTGAGATCCGCTCCCGCCCCCAAGATAAAATCTTGCACCAGGGCCCTTTGTTTCTTAGGTCCTTCACTGCCTTCATTGTGTGCACTGCTGAAACTCACATTCAAATGAAATACAGCAACTGAAGAGAGCTTGACATTACATAAGATTACTAGTATTGTTTCCTGACTTCTTCCCTTCGTCTTTCCCTCAATGAGAAGATTAGAGGATCAACCCTATCATGTAGAAGATAAAAAAGCTTTATAGAATTTTGAAAACACTTGACACTGCTCCTAGGATGGCCCTGAGCTTCCCAATCCTCACCCAAGTACTGTACTAGGTCATCGGTCAGAAGCTAAAGCAGGAACCCTTAGCCTTAAATAGCTGATAACTCAGAACATTATGCTGCCTTACTTCTATGGCAAATGAATATAAAATGTCAGAATATTTTGTTTAACTACAGAGATTTTACATATCATAATTGTGAGCTGTCTTATTTCCTCCTTTTTTACTTGCACTGATCTGTTAAACAAATCATAAATAATATAATAACCATAAATAATTCACACTACGTGAGGCTGGGGCCACACTGTTGCATTGTGTTAATATGCGTTGTGTAAGAGCAGCACATACATTTAAATAGGCTGCCTAATGCACGCACAAAAAGATGCATGTAGGGCCCATTTACACCGGTTGAGTAAAAATGCAGTGTAAAAGTGCACTATGACTTTCATTTTACTGTCCCAAAAATCGTACACGCAGCATTTTTGTCAGCACACCACAGTACACCGTAGTACATTACTGTGCGTTGTGACTCACTGCAATGCACGCCTGTTGGCAAGGTGCATTGGGGTGCCATTAAGAATTAATAGCACCGCAGCACACCAACAGCCAAAATGCTTTACCACAGTTCAACAGTGGGAACATCACCTAAAACAGGTTTTCTGCAAACCATAAAGTCATACACACAAAGTATTCTTTTAAAAAATGTCACTGTCCTTTGTAGCATTCCCTGTATTATTATAACTGTATATAGTCACACACATTTGCAGTATCTTCATCATGTGTGGGCAGGAAGCCAGCCAGCAAGAATGCAATGTTTATAGAGTATCTGGCCACATACAATAACATAGCACACTGGAATAAAGGAGAGGATCTAGTCTGGTCTGAAGGGAAAGGAAATTGCTTAATATAAGATACGTTATGTTTAAGACCTTATTTTAATAACTAGTAAAACACCTTCTACACACTGCAAGCTTTATGTATTCAAAAGATAAAAAAAAATTACTTGGGAGAAAAACAATTCTTAACCCTTGCAAGGGGGTACCCAGGCACTGCAAGAGTTAAGTATTTGTTTTTTCTAGGGAGCGAAAAAAAAGTTATACTCATCCAATCCAATCTTTGGACCCGGCTTGCTCGTAGACCGGTCCCTGGAGCCTCTCTCCCCCTAAGGTCCGGTGAGTCGTTACATTCTAGACACAGTGTATAGGATGTGAGGATGTCGAGGGACATTCCATCGCTGCAGCAGGGGTATAGACAGGTGAAGGGAGCGGTGTAAAAGCCAGCCGGGATTGCGGTTTGGGTGAGTATGTTTTTTTTTTTTTTTTTTTAAGCTACAAAACGAGCACCTAACCCTTGAAATGCGGGGGTAGCCCCACTGCAAAAGGTTAAGATTTGATTTGCCTGGAGTTCTTCTTTAAATTTGTAATTACTAACAGGGGCTGGTGGTCAGTCATAAGTAAGTTTAACAATACTAGCAAGGATATGCAGGACTAAGCATTGTAGGGCTATAACAGAAATGAAGTCAGACACTGAGTGGTTAATAATGTCCAGAGATATGCAAGGAACAAGGGCAGTAAAAGTCACACTTATTGCACAAAAAGACATTAAAAGGGTAACTATTCTTTTAAAAAATCTAAAAATCTAATCCAAAGTGAGCTCATGCCAATTATACCCCCTTACCTTAGATAAGATCCAGAAGCCAGGGTATATGCTAAGCCAGGTTGCATTTTGGTCCTCGCCTCAGCCAACAATTATGCCAAAATGACTGTTTTGTTCAGCCGTGTGATTATTATTTCTACCCCTCATGGGCTCTTATTGCTGAAGATAATTATTTTTATAGTTTAGTAAATTAGGCCCAACCCTAACTCCCTTAGTAATTTACACTGAATGGGTGCAAATTGTATAGAAGACTGTTTGCAGCGCCTCACTAGTTTTTCCCATGGTCACAGCTACATGAAATGTCCACAAACATTATTTTAGCATACAAGTATATGCTACACCAAAGTGCTGCAAGAGGTCTTTAGTGTGCATGACGTGGATCATAGACCCTCAAACAGAACCCCTTTTTAAGTTTTGCAATTATAAGGGATAAAAAGTCAAATTTAGAAAAACAAAGAACACTGCTGTCACTGCAAGTTCCTTCACATTAATGGAGTATGTATATTCTGACGTCAGCGGATCCTGGTATTAAAAAATTAGGATGCAATTAAGATGAAAGTATCAAGTAGTCCAATCATAGTAATTAGAGATCATAAACTTTCAGAAGACAGGCTGCAAGCTCATTTCTAATTAGGTAAATTAGTATTGATGGCTTTAATCTATTCTTATTAGAGAGGAGCAGGCTTTCATTTCTTCATGAACATCTTCTTAAAATAGAGCGGATTTAAAAAATGGTTGTCGTTTCCTAGACTAGGTTAGGCTATGGAGACAGAACAATAAAAGTAACAACTCAAATACTAAAATAATACTCAAAAGGAATATCATTTATAGGGTTATTCACAAGAGGATGAAGAGTTTGGAGAAGGCAGGAGAAGTGAACAATCTAGGACAACATAGCTGCTTTGGAAAAATTCTCCAATTCAGCTCACTTTCCAGTTCAGCTATGTTGTCCTAGATTGTTCACTTCTCCTGCCTTCTCCAAACTCTTCACCCTTTTGTGAATAACCCTGTCAGTTTTATTCCAGGTGGTAGGATCATACTGTGCACACCATTGGGAAATTCCTATCTGTACAGTAGAAATAAAAGAACAAAATACATAATGCTACCAGAAGCCACAATTGTTTTCTGATAAATGTTTTATAGTGAATTCATCACCAAAACATTCACGGTCATATACATACCGTGTTTCCCCGAAAATAAGACAGTGTCTTATTTTTTTTTTGCACGAAATAAGACACTAGGTCTTATTTTCGGGGGATGTCTTACCTGGCTGGGGGAGGAGTGGACGGGGTCCCGGAAGGCGGCATGCTGTTGCCAGTCCCGGCGGATGTCGCTTCCATTGTGTGTGTGTGTGTGTGTGCGGGCGGGAGCTGCGGCTGGCGTGTGGGCGACTTATATTACAGACATCCCCGAAGATAGCGCTAGGTCTTATTTTTGGGGTAGGTCTTACTTTCGGGGAAACACGGTAGTACATATACTGCACATTCAAAGCTCATATTCTCTATATTTTTATATCATAGTAAATGTGACAGTTGGAAAATGCCTGGTGAATGTAACTAGTACAGTTAGCTACAAAAGTAGATTTAAATCAGGGGTCCTCAAACTCCTCAGCTCATTGACCCCTTCATCAGGTCAACCCTTTGTTTGCCTGATGAAGGAACCGGATGCGTTCTGAAACGTTGCTACACTTGGTGATGTAACTTTACACATGGATTAAAAAGAACTTTGCTTGTAGAACCTTTGGAGTGCTGGTGACTTACTGTATTGTTTCTTCATCAGGTTTAGACTGCTCATCGACCCCCAAACATTTAGTTTATGTATATTATTTAGATAATTTAATATATACTATTTTTAAGTGTATGCATTTTTTTTAAAGTTTTGGATACAGTAGGGTAAAGGGTTTTTGCTGTTTGAGTACCCATGGGGATAATTCCCTTCCATTCCTGTACCAGAGATGCAAAAGGAAATTAAGCTGGCCATACACCTATAGATTATCTGCAGATTTTCTATGGTCAGATGGAAAAAGTGCAACAGATTCCTCCATCTACACTCAACTGTGTGGATGGAGGAATCTCCCACTGGGCCAAGCTTCAGATGCCATAATGGCTGTTACAATGCTGATTTTTTTGTATATTCACAGCAATCAGTTCTGGCACCACTCCTATAAGATTTGTTCCAGTCCAGTGACTGGAAACTGTTAAAGCTAGGATGCCAACCATATTTTCTTTCCAGGAAGAATGTAATATCAGGAAAATACCACATTATGGCCAGTAGATGGAGCTGAGGAACATAGTCAATACTAATTTCCTATGCTCCTCAGTGCCATGTAGTGGCCACAATCCGTATTTACATGAACTTACATTCGACCTATAAAGAAATATGTTAATAACATTCATTTTGAACAAACAAATGAATGTAAATGCAATTCTGCATGTGCAAAAGTACTTACGTTGGTCATTTTCAGAAGATCAATAATAGCAACCCTTATATTTGTCTCATGAAAGGTTACCAAAATATATACTTACACATAACATCTAAACTGTATGCTTTTTATGTTTACTTACACAATTCCATTTCCACATCTGGTGCATTCTGGGAGCACCTGTAAGCCACTTAGAGGGCTACTGAGTTTAGACACTGGTGATTTGACATTTCTGGAGCTGGATGGTCTTTCTACTTTCTCACCTGCTAAAATATTAAAAAGAAAAATGTATCAAGTGTTTGAAATATAAAGGTTGCCCACAAACATTTCAAAATCATCTGAGAATTCCATTAAGTAACAAAGCATGAGGTTATTAGACACCTCAGAATCTGCGGCATTAGATGGTCTAATGAGGGTATGACAGAAACTTGGATGTCTTCTATGTACCACAGCTACTTGCTGGTAACACATAGTAAGTTATATTGACGCAGAAAAGGATAGTTCAGAGTCAAGGTGAGCTTATTATAAAAAATAAAAAAGGCTTTTTTTCTGGCAGGTAAGACGAGCCTTGCTAACACAAAGAGCCCAGTGCTTCACCAGGTGACAGAAAATGAAAGTACAAATAATGCATACGTCATTTTTATTTAAAATGTTTAATATTTTATTTGATAGACCTGACCATAAAAAAAGAAAGAATGAAAATACATGCAAAACCACCCTACAATCACTTTAAAAACTGTAGTTCCTTATATTCTGGGATGATTATTTATGCATCATTGCACATATTTAGGCATAACAGTACCTTTTGTGTAAATCTGCTCCTACTCCATGCCACTGCTAGTATATTTCCACTTTGGTGATTACAGCAAAATACAAAGCACCACCTCAAAACAAGTTCAGAACACTTTGGCCTCCCACTAGTCTGAATTTGTTCCTTTTTTTCATATGGGTTTTTCTACTTTATGTTTAGATTTGATATTTTAAAGAAGCAAACCATAGTTTGAACCCACCATCTCACCATCTGAACCCACCATCTCAAAGCATGTTGTATTTACCCCAAGGGAAAGGTGGGTTGAGCCAGGCAAATCATGGTGAACTATAACTGTCAGACTTCCCTTTTGCTCCCAAAGTCATTCTCAATAGCTTGGACAGCTTCTAGGTTGCACACACATCGAACTACTCCACAAGGTTTGATGTGATCTCCCAAAGACCATTAGTCCATTCAGGTGCTTGCCTGTAGGACTGAGCTTCGAACTGCCCACAGTTCGCCTGCCCTGACCCCTGGCTGATGTTTGTGTACAAACCCAGTGCTCAGATGTCAATGCCTTCTTTTAAACAAAAACTTGTAAATTCGTCTTGAAAAAGGCCAGAAAAAAAATAAGATTCAGCCACTAGATTTCAGATTTATTTTTACTGGGTTGGCTGAACCTCCTCCAAACCTAGTGGCTTCACAAGGGGGGTGTGGCCCACACCCGGGTGACACCATTGGAGGGGTGACACCAAAATGTAATTTGGTGTCGCCCCCTCTAAACAGTCGGGCACTCGGTCATGGACCGAGAGTCCGACAGTGTCAGGAGAGAGGAGGGAACACGGCGGCATACCTCATCCCGCCGGGTGAAGTCCCCTCCTCTCTCTGCCGGCGTCCATCACCAAGATGGCCGCCGGCAGACGTCATTTAGATGACCGCACATGCGCAATGACGCCACGGCGGGGTGTCACCCGGTCTCCGTTTCGGGTGGCACCTGGCCTCGGGACGCGTGTTTGCAAACCCAAACTTATTGAGATTCCGGTAACAGTAACAGAAAAATCAGTTATGAAATTGTCCTGTTAGCTGATTTAATTGCATTGCAGTCTTGTAGTACTGGGACTTCTGTACAGTGTTTAAACATGTTAAAGTGACACTAAACTCAGGAGTTAAATCTCAATGCATTCAAGTACCCCAACTATTAACAAAAATGTATCTTATTTGTGTATCACACAGATCCTCAAATCATCTCTGGATTCATGCTGACACTGTCCTTCCTTCTGGAGGGTGGCTACTTTTGTTCCCCATGGTCCCTGTGTGTGTTGTAAATACAATCCCAATGCAAATTAGTGAACTAAACATGAAATTGTAGTCCTCACAGAGTGGAGTGGTGGCTACATTACAAAACACACAGAGACCATGGGGGACAAAAGTAGCCACCCTCCAGAAGGAAGGACTGTGTCAGCATGGATCTACAGCTGAGTTTGGTAATAGGGTGTTTGAATGTATTTTTAGAGTTTAACTCCTGAGTTTAGTGTCACTTTAAGCTTTAATTTACCCTTTAAGAAAACACAATAAACGCAGCCCTTTATTTTAAATGATGTAACCTTCATTTAGATGATGCAAAGGTTACATAGTGAAGTGTTTTTCCTAACTGAAAGAAATCTACCAATGTTTTCTTACCTGTGTTCAATGTGACTGCAAGACAGAAAATATTTGCTTTATAGGGTATGGTATGTGTTTGCTTTAATAATAGCTTTGTTTATGCATATTTACTGGCACGGAAAGCCAGAAATTGATTAGCCACAGTTACAAATGAATTTAGAAATATGCCCCAAGCTTAAATTAAATAATGTTCTCAATCCCATGAAGGGTTTCAACACCAGAAAGCTTTTCTGATTAAGAAAGACCGCTGTTAATTGCTACCAAAGACAAAACTGTTCCTAAGTTGCCTCATTTTTATAATAGCAAAGTGATGGTGCTTGAATCGCTCATACTGGGTTTGGCCATCTATTTTCTGTAAAATAAATTATGGGGTCTATTCACTAAGCTGCCGAGGGCAGCCGAGTGAATGACCGATCTGAAGTGAAGTGAGCCAAACACGCTTCGGCTATTCACTTCAGGCTGGTACGGCTGATTTCAGCCGTACATCGGCTGAAATCAGCCGTACATCGGCTTGCTTCGCATGGCTTCGGGTCGGCCGAACATGCTTAGCATGTTCGGCCGACCCGAAGTGCAGAAGGAGTCCGACTCAGCCGACCCAACATCTGGATCGGCTGAGCCGAACCTCCGGCAGGCTTCTCACTGCTGTTCAGGCTATTCTTAAAGATGCCAAACAGCAGTGAGAGAATAGCCGAATGCCGCCGAGCCAGCTTAATACTTCAAAAATCAATTTTCTTCATGGACAGGCTTAATTCTCATGAACAACGACAGGGCATACAAAAAGGCTGCACCCAACAAAGCCTGGAGGGCAGCTCCACTTCACATCTTTCATATAAATGATTGTCATTGTGTATTTGGAAGACTTTAACCTTGTAAGTATGATGCCCTAGGGCAGAAGGGCTGGGCCTCAGAGTCCAGTACATGGATATGTGTGAAAGAAACTGTTACTATTCCAAATAACTAATGAAATGAGAAGAATGTCCTGTACTCCCCACTTGAACTGATACCTTTATCTGTGGCAAACCCACTCCAATAAGGGAGATAAAATCCCCACATTAATGTAGGACCTTTACCTTGAGAAAGCCCACACTTAGCTCATGCAATTGCTATAATTTGATGTGCTCATTTTACTTTTTTTTCCACAAAAAAGATCTGTTGATGTTATTAGTATACAGCCTGTGTCTGCTTAAATTTACAATTTGGATCACTGAAGGCTGGGTTTACACCTAGGCGTATCGAATATGCGCGTTTGTCGCGTGTTTTTACCGCAATTCGCACGTTTCCGAGGGCTACCTGGCTGTATCCCAATGGATACATGCGGCAAATACGCCCAAAAGAAGCTCCTGTACTTCTTTGGGCGTAGGGCGTTTTGCAGCGCGTTCCTACGCGCTGTAAAACAACCAGGTGGGAACCATAGGCCCATAGGCAATCATTGGTTTTCACATGTTGAGCGTTTTACAGAGCGTAGGAACGTGCTGTAAAACGCCCAGGTGTGAACCAGGCCTTACTGCATTACACTATCAAATAGACTTTGGGAGCAAGTTATTGTTAAAAGGTAATTTGCCCTGCAACGTCATGCATGCATCATTTTTAGGGTTTTCTAGATAATATACTTTTATGAAGAAAAGCTGGAAAATGCCCAGTTGTTTAAAATTAGTGATGAATCAAACATGCCCGTGGTTGAATTAGGGGAGGATTGATGTACTCTTTAAAAAGTCTGCAAACTGTGAACTTTAATGTGAACCCCATTGAATCAATTTTCTCTATTTTGAATATGCAAGGGGGAAAGGGCATGGGGAGCTTGGCACTGCCCTGAGGGACACGTACCAATTAAAAAAACAAAAATCTTGAATTTTGTTTAGCGGGGAGCAGCTCCTTTTATAAAACAAAAACCATAGTAGACCCATGATGAAAATCTGTTATGGATTTTGGTGGGGAACCCAGACAAAAAAAACAGAAAAAAACAACAACATGGGATCCCCCCTAAAATCCATACAAGACCAGGCAGGCAGGGAGTGGGCATAAAAAATGGCATGCCCCCCTTCCCCCAATCCATACCAGACCATTATCCTATATAGGGGTCTGATAAGGACCCCCATGCAAAACAAACAAAAAAAAATCCATACCAGACCCTCATGCACGTATCCAGGGGGAGCACTGGACTGCAGGCATTCAGACATTTAGAGAGGAAGTGACTACCAAAGGATGCAGGAGATCAGCAGCACTGAGATGCATTATTTTGATGCAGATTTCACTGGAGATAACATCTGCTTATGCATTTTTTTTATCATGTGCCTATTTTGAAGAACATGATTCCCAATTTAAGTCTCTTATTTTATAGTTGTTTTGTAGTCAGGCTGCATAACAAGTAAATAATATGGCATTATGTTTTATTAAGTGTTTGTGCTTAACACACTAGGAAGCTGCCCTGTGCTAGCAGCAGGCTGGAGAGCCAGACACATGTGAATCTCTTTAAAATGCTGTATTGTATTCTATAATCTTTGGTAGAATTCTCTACCATCTGTTAGGCAACACACTCTCTGATCTTCAGGAAATGACTGTAGAACATCATATTTTATTCCTACATGCTCAATGCCCCCAGGTGATTTAAACACATATATCTCCACCATGAAATAACTTTAAGGCAACACTGAAACACAAATGTTTGAAAAATAGGCCAGGGTCCCTGTGCTTCAATCTTGTACCTACTGCTCCAGATCCCCAACACCCATGGCTCTACACCCATCTAACATACCCACCCCATTACCTCATGTACCTTCAATCCCTAGTTTATCCCTTATTACCCCTCATCAGCCTCTAACCACCCTCCAACTCTTACAACCCGCTCCACTTGACACATGATTTCCATTTACCTAAAGGATGAGCTATTTTGCTGCACACTTAGAGGGTTATTCACAAAGCTGCCGAAGGCAGCCGCGTGAGTAACCGACCCGAAGTGAAGTGAGCCTGATTTCAGCCGTACACCGACTGAAATCAGCCTTACATCGGCTTGCTGCGGCTGGCTTCGGGTCGGCCGAACATGCTCAGCATATGCCTTCGGCTCGACTGAGCCGGTCGGCCAACTTTGGGAGCTGTACGGGCTATAGTGAATAGCCTGTACAGCAGCCCTTCAGTTCTACTGAACCAAAGGGCTCCCGTAACCGAAGGATCAGCCGAAGCTACGGCTGGATCCTTCGGCAGCTTTCTGAATAACCCTCTTAAAGTTTTGTCTAAGCAGGCCCTGTGGAGCCCCAAGGAGTAGGAGCCCAGCTGAAACCACAAACTCTGTATCTGCACCACTGGATAAAGGGTTTATAGTTACCTTTGATATATGGTTTATTTTTAAAGGGAATGTGTTATTAAAGCTACCTTCTCAATTTAGAAAAAATAAATAAATCTAGAATGTGATTAAACAGCAGACTCTCTGGTTACTGCAAGTAACTATAGATAATGTCTCATGTGCTGTGGGAACCTGGAAGTCAGAGGAACTCTCTGATATGCAAATTACAACTTTCTATATTTGACTTTACTCCTTATTTTGAACAAGAGTGATTGTTTTTTATCTGTGCAAGCAGCTCCAGGCTCCCAGGCCAAATATTGGATCTACATGCAGTAAAAATAAAGATAGTAACTGCCTTTCCAACCTGGATGATTATGGGACTGTGCAACAGAAAATAAATGTGTCCATCAGGGGCTTCAAGTTACTTGGCGAACAGATGTTAAGCTTTACATGCATTAGCATTATGGAGACATTTCTTGAACTTTTAATTTATAAGAATGAGTCATGGGAGAAACTGTGCAGTTAGACACCATTGGTAAAAACATATTTTTGGGAAACACTGCAAAGTATTAAAATATCAACTGTATTTATTTTTTTATTTTTGTTTAGGTTTTACAATGTCGTCTCTGACAGCTGCATGCTATATTTTATTCTTTGTTTGTAAAGAACTGTCACCTCAGGTCTGCTGTAAAGAAAATTCTGCTTACCTATTTCCAATCACTCCAATATGTAATGAGATTACATATTTTAGAGCACACTGATTTTATTGTATGGTATGTTAAGCAAATGTTAACAAGCATCACATATCATACCAGTAAAGGAATAAAAATTAGTGTGCAAGTGACCTTAAAGTAGAAGTAAATCTAGAAAAAAATAAAATAAATCGGGCCCATAGGAGGTTTTAGCCACAATGTGCTAGTATGCACAGCATATTATCACATTATTATTATACAGGATTTATATAGCGCCAACAGTTTGTGCAGCGCTTTACAATATAAGGAAGACATTACAATCACAATACAATTCAAAACAAGATGGCAAGGAGGTCCCTGCGCCTGAGGGGTTACAATCTAAAATGGCAGACTTACTCGCAAAGGGATCCCCTCCAGCGCTGCGCTCCTCCCTCCCCAGTGCTTCCATCTTTGCCCTGTTCTTGTTCTGGGTTTGGAGTTTTTAGCCTCTTGATTGGCCAGGCCACAATGAGGTAATTTCCCCACACACGCACAGGAGGTACTTCATCTCAGCGTACAAAGCTCAGTGTACAGGGGAAAAAAACCTGATAGGCAGCTAGAAGCTTTTATGGCAGAAGAGACTTAATCAGTCTCTTCCGTCATAGAAAGCCTGCAGTCCGCTTTAACACTAACCGCAGACATTTTAGAGTGCCTATGGCCTCAAAGAACTGTACCAGGATGTCCTCATGAATTATAATTTCAAGAAATAAAAACCTAAAAACCTGGAAGGGTAAAAGCACAAGGGCAACACATTTATGTTTTAAAAAATATTATTGAAGTTTTAGTGGCCTCTTGTAGTGGGGGCTTCCAAAAAGCAGAAAACATGATAAACCAACAGGAACTTTGTATGACCTTTTGAGATGCTGACATATCTGACCTTTGCCTTTGTTTTGTCTCCAAGAACACAACGTGATATAAAGGTCATGTAAGCGTCTAATGAGATAATGTCTGGACATGAACCAGCTTCTCAATCTGTTGCTGCGCTGTACATACAGCACACTTGGGTGTTTAGAGTCTAAGGGCTGGAGGAAGCTGCAGAAACATCCTACGCATTCTTGTCCATTGTCCTGAGAGAAAATGGGCTGCTTGACTGAGGTGATCACCCAATGGTCACACAAAGCCATTATTTTATAATGCTTTGGTCAGATCAGGGGCAGGGTTTCACACTGGAAACTGGCAGATAGCTTGCAAAAGTATTGCTGTTGGGAAGGAAGTTATTCTCATTATACATAATAGTTACAGCAAGATATGCAGTACTTCCTGAGTTATCAGATTTGTGCCAATATTTTTTCAGTCCCACAAAAAACTGAAATTAATTAGCAAGAAATTACTGTCATTCTATGAAGTAGCTGAAATGTGAACATATGTGAATATTAAATTACCTGATAAAAATAAATGTAATTCTTAATAGCTAAAACAACAGGAAATCCTGAATAGTGTTAATTATCTCACTGTATTTATACAACAAAGCCACCACATAACAGGTCCACATGTTCAATGAAAAGGCTTCTTTTTTCTTGAAATCCATTGTTCTTATTGATGTTGACTCTGCTTTGTTGCAACTAAGTTAATATTTCTTTTTATGACTTTCCCATGGTAAGAAATAAGATATTATGAAATATTAGTTTTTAGTTTTTGATAGCTCAAAATGCCATTGTATTTTTCTAAAATAAGGAGAAAAGCATAATTTTTTTAAGTGGTTGATTTTCTTCCTCCACCAGTTATATATGCAGTTCTCTTAACCTGCTCCTCTACACCATAATGGTTAGATACCAGTTCAGATACCAGAGCCGATACTTGGCATTTCACAAGATCTACCAGGCTCGCAGTGGCTGCAGCTGCTACTGGGCCATGGTGCTCCATCACTGTCCTGAAATCATTAGTCTGTATTATTTTAGAAAAACTGTCACATGACAGTAAATAAAAATGTATCAGTAATTGATATCTGTGAGTACTTTGACAAGTATCGATACTTTTATTTGGTCTGGAAAAAATTGTATTGGTGCGTCCCTAATATATGTTTATGTATATATATAAGCAAAAAAAATGGGCTGAAAAACTCGGCTTATACTCGAGTATATACGGTATATAAAAAAACAAATCATACATTAAAAACAGGGATGCACAAGTCCCAGGAGCCCCATAGCCAATGCTCCTTAAAAATGACAGCTGTCTCCTAACTTTTGAGTTTTTCTCTAGTCTAGTGTTGGAATTGGAAAAGTATCGGTACTTGTACTTTTACTTCTACAAAGTACGGTACTAGGTATCTGAAAATCCCTACTGCTATGCCTTACATTGGCTGGACACAGCAGCAATGGTTAAAGTGACCCTCTCACCACAGGGTCACTTGTAAACAAAGTCCATGCTATAAAAGAAGAGCATGTATACTTACCTTTCTGGTTGCCTGTGTCTTTAATTTCTGCCAATTTTCTGCTCCCGGCTGCTGCAGCTATTCGACAGTTCAACAATTCCAGGCGTTTCAAGTTTGAAGACCACTGGTATTGGGCCACTGGAAACATTAGAATTCATGCTTTTCTTTTACAGAGTGGACTTTGTTTACAAATGACCTGGTGGTGACAGGGTCAAGTTAAAAGCAAAACTCCCGCACTCACACTACTTTTTCTATGGTTACCAGCGCTCACTTTGGGCCTCAGTTCCCCTTGTGCATCCTGTGATAAGCAAACTAACCATAAGTACACAAAACAGAGCCAGGAGAAAGGCAGGTTTTGGTTTCTAGCAGTGAACACAATGTGGCAGGGCACCAATTTGAGAAACAGATCTAAGTGGGGGGGTAGGCTAGCGGAGTATTTTCAGTTGCCATGGACACCTGGTCATTTTGGGTCACTTCTGAGTTATGGTATCGTTCCTAGTTCCACAATAAAGCTGCATTACACTTATATGTATACTAGGGTTGCCACCTTTTCTTCAAGCGAAACCCGAACACTCTGGTGACACGTGGATATTTTTTGGGGAGAATGAGTCATGGCGTATTCATATGTAATTAGTGCCACCTGTTCATATGTAAATATCACTATTTTCAGTGGGGGGGGGGGCCAGGAGCCCCTATCTTAATTTTGGTTGTCCCTGTCTGCCTGACATCTTGTGTCCAGGTTTCTGCTGCCCTGAAACCCGGCAAGAGCATTCAAACCCCGAACTGTCCGGGTGAATCCTGGACAGGTGGCAACCCTAATGTATACCCTAGATGTAGAACATCTGTGTATACAAATAATGTGAATGTGATTTTACTTCACATTGCAACCAATCAGATTACAGATGTCATTACAGCAGGTTAGAAGACGACAGAAAGATTTGTTAGAGTAAGCAAAACACCTAATTTCTACATGAGGACCACTGTATATAGCCCATTCACCAGTTGAACTAAAGCGAAGGCTTTCTTCCTACACGGATCACAAGGCCTTTATACACTATTGCAATGCTTATAGAGCAGGGCTTCCAAATTACAGCTTGTTTCTATGTGGAAACCCTATCATTGTCTCTCACCACACCTGCTTAATCCTCCTTTGCACCCTTTATATCATATACTGCACATATATACTATAACAGATTAAGTTGCATTTTTTTAGAACTACAAATGTTGTTCTTACCATTCTCCCCAGCCTCTAACATGTCTTGTAAGTACTTGAATGAACCAGACTGCTTGGGCTGTGACACAGGTACTTCGTAGTCCTGTAGCATTTTGTACACATCTGACTCAACATCTATTCCATTTCGGCTCCTTGGAATGCTCCTCAGTGGGTCAACACTGTCAGATAGAAAGCATAGATTAGCATTATTCTATTAGTAAAACAGCATGTGCCGTTACTTTATAAAAATGTGTCTGGATCTGTTACAGCATACACTGACATGTTCCCACTTATTTTGCTGCATCATCCACACAAAAACATTGAAGAAACAATCCAGAAAAAAAATGGCAACAACAGGTGTGTAGACCATGAAACTCAAACACAGAGATCTCACAATCAGCATCCCCAGTAAACTACTACTTCTCAGTTCATCCTTACTGCTTCCTGGGTCACCTCCATACTCATTAGACAGAAGAGATAATGCTGATGTGTTGGCTATTGAGCAGGCTGGAGACAGAGAGGACATACAGGAATCTGAAAAGCTATATTAGGAAAAAAGGGTGACATCTGCCTGGATGTGCTGTGCAGCAGGGGTGTGTGAATCAGAAGATTGGGTTGAATTAGAAATTAGTAGACTTAAATGTATTTTAACTGAGCATGTAGCCTGGAGCTCTGCTCTTAAAGGAGAACTATGGGGTTCTATCTTTTCTTTATTATTGCATTCCTTAGGCTAAATAAGTAAATTGTGTAATTTACTCCTATTAGCCAAATGCACCCTAAGCCTGTAAACCCTTCAGAGAGAAAGAGAGAGAGAGAGAGAGAGAGAGAGAGAGGGAGAGAGAGAGAGAGAGAGAGAGAGAGAGAGAGAGAGAGGGGAAGGAGCCCTCTCTCGCTCTCTTCATCATTTATCACATATGGGCAAGTACATATATGGTGAATGATGTCACTGGGGATCCCTGCAGACTGGCAAGCATCCGATCAGCAGGGATCTCCAGTGACATCATTCACCATATATGGACTTGCCCATTTGTAGTAAAATGATGAAGAGAGAGAGTGGGCTCCGTTCCCTCTCTCCCTGCCCTGTGTGACATTGACATGCTAAAATCACTGGGGATCGCTGATTAGAGAGGGGAAAGAGGGCTCTCTCTTCAGCATTTACTACAAATGGGCAAGTCCATATATGGTGAATGATGTCACTGGGGAGGGAGGGGATCAATGCACTGCACTCTACAAGTGAAGTAGGCGGGGCAGATGGAGAGGAGGAGGGAGGGGATCAAGGGCTACACAGCAGCGTGTCTGGAAGGCTGGCACAGAGGACAGGGACGTGCAGGTAAAGAGAGAGCTGTGTGCACAGAGCTGCTGCGCATGTCCATATATTCGTGGATGCGCAGCAGCTCTCAAGAATCACTGTCAGTCACAGTGACGAAGATCAGTGGGGAGGATCCCGGCAGCATTGTCAGGATCTCTCCTCATTGCGGCGCTTAGCCCTGCCCACCATCTTAAAGAAGGGTTTACAGGTTTAGGGTGCATTTTGGCTAATAGGAGTAAATTACACAATTTACTTATTTAGCCTAAGGAATGCAATAATAAAGAAAAGATAGAACCCGATAGTTCTCCTTTAAGAGTCTAAATAAAAAGGTGTAATCACATTTTAAATTTGTTTATATGTGCACATGTAAGGAAAGATAAGCACAATGTGCAATGAAAAGATGTCCGGGAACAAACCTGTGTGTAATTGTGCAGCAGGCCCACTGGAGCAAGATGTAATTGTGTGCATGGTATTGCTGAATAAAGCTGAAGTCATTTCTTGCATGTTTACATGCTTCAGGCAGTGTTTGCTAACATTGCAGCTGTTACAGACATCATGGTGATCATCTCATGGTGAAGGGGTTAAGTGATAAGTGGTTCGCTTCAGCAAAAGTGCTCATAATTGTTTGTAGAGATTTTTCAACACACTTGAAAAAATCTCAGGGGAATCATTTGCCATAATGATGTGTTTACTAAACTAGAAAATCATTTATTTTAAATACGTTTGCACTTAAACCATGACTAAGATAAGGAATATCTGAGCCAATGAATGTGTAGCTCTTAGCATTGCTGGAAGAAACAAACAAGCTTGAGATCTTCTGTAGTATTAGCCAAAAGATATGATTTGATCAAATAAAAGGATGGATAGGCGAGTCCTATAGAGCAATGCTGGTGAAGCAGCTGCTGCTGTTATGGATGGTGCCAATTTTGTTTCAGATGACACTTGCAGTGACAGCAAGTGACAACATGTAGGGTGTCTGTAGGATTCGACATGGCTACAATTATAGAGGGGGCCTTCAACTAATATTCTAATTTCCAAAACTGTCCAAATCTGCTTTTTACTCTAGTTTATATGTGCTACAGAAATGCTGTCACCATCTAGGATACAGAACACATTTCTATGTATGGAATGAATGCGAGTACAAATTAAATTTAGTAAACCATATTTGGAAATAATATTCTATAAACAAAGTAATTCCCCCGCATAAAAAGTATACATAGATTTGATTCAGAGCAGCTGCGCAGGAATGTAGGTTTCCATTTAATACAAAGAATCTGTACATGAACACTTTTCAAATTGTGCTTTTTTTCTTTCACAAAGGTTTTATTTGGTTTTGTCATATTTTTGTAAAAAAAAATACAAAATTAACAAAGTTAGGGCATGCAAGCCCTGCAACAAGGAACACAAAAAGAAAATACACAGCTACAACATTGTGCAGAGTCCTGCAAAATGAATTACAGGAGCAGTATAACTGGTACTGAAGAACAACATGTGAGCTTAAAAGGGACAGTAGTGCTTAGTTCTAGTGCGTAAGACACATAATAAAATTGTGCTTTTTTTTCATAATCCTCCACTAGTACAGAGGAAAATCTGTGGCCAAGACTGGTACAAAATCTCCAGTAAACTCTGATTTAGTAAGAACATCTCTCAAAAAAATGGACCTGCTGAGTACTAAAAATGTAGTTTAAAAAAATAAAGACGTTGTACTTACTTGGGAGGTGAAGAAATACCGATCCGGCCCATGTGTGAAGAAAGGTGAGAGTCTATGCCATTGTTGTTGTCATTTGTGTAAAGCCTGGATGGATTGTTGTATTGGGCATTGAGCATTGGTCGAACATCACTGGGGCTAATCCGTGGAGAAAATGAAGCGGGTCGTCTGTTATTTGTGCTTTCTGATGGAAAAATGTCCTGCAATAGAGCATATAACACAATAAATATAATATAATGAGATATATAAAGCAATATTACATAGCACTAAACTCAGGAGATAGATATTAAAAAGGCATTCAAGTACCTTAACTGTTAACAGAAATGTATCTTATTTGTGTATTACGGCTGCAGATCCTCAAATCATCTCTGTCCTTCCTTCTGAAGGGTGAATACCTTTGTTCCCCATGGTCCCTGTGTGTGTTGTAAAGTAGCCCAAGTTTGCTCCTGTGATGGACTGCAATCTCACGTTTAGTTTACTATTTTGCATTGCGGTGCTTAGCCCCGCCCACCACCTAAAATAAGGTTTTACAGCCTTACTGTGCATTTTGGCTAATTACAGTAAATTACATTATTTACTTATTTAGCCTAAGGAATGCATTCATAAAAAAAAGATAGAACCCCATAGTTCTCCTTTAAGGACCCATGATGTCATGACATCCATTCACTTGCATTAGAAATGAGGATGCCGAGGGACATTTCACAGCCAGAGTAGAGGGGGACAGAGGTGAGCGGTCACCGTCAAGGGACTGAGGATAGGGTGAGTATATTTTTTTTTTTTTATTTTAAACCTTGGACCAAAATGAGCACCTAACCCTTGCAGGGATGCCCCCCTGCAGGGGTTAATGTTTAAAATGCCCGGAGTTTTTCTTTAATGGACCAGTTTGTCTGTTTTTGCCATTAATCTTCTTTGTTTCTAAAAAAAAAACGACTTCATGTAGCAGATTTTCTGCTCATAGCAGGAAAACCTATCCAAGTTTACTTCATTTATGTAATGTGTTCTTTCCCCAAAGCTTACAGCTTCAAAATGTTCTGTTTATTGGCTTTTCACTGTCTCACTTTACTTCAGGCTACAGAAAACATTAAAAAAACACATCAAATCTACAATAATAGTACAGGGTATTATCAGAGCCCATTGAAAGTTACCATAGCCCACATCCAGGCCTGGTATAGTAATATCAGATTTTAGGGTCATAAATAAAGTTATGAGAAACATAAGTCTTGCATATTCACATGCCTAGCAAGGCTTTCTGAGTACAACGAGCAGTCCATTAATAAAGACCACTCAGGAAGGGCTGCCCCTTCCCTGGAAAGAAATATGTAAGTGTGACATTTATTCCAGATGCCTCGTAATACTTGTTCCTCTGTGGCACTGAGCAAATGTCAAGTGTCACTTTGAAACATACATCGTTTTTTCCTAAATGAATGAAACACTGTGCAAGAAGAAACATTTAAAAAAGAACTAAAAATAATTACACCACAATCACAGGAAGTGACTTTACTTGTTTACTTGTCTTTAGATATCAAGGCGACACTAAACTCAGGAGCTAAATCTTAAAAATGCATTCAAGTACCTTAACTATTACGAAAAATTTATCTTATTTGTGTATCACTCGGCTGTAGGTCCTCAAATCATCTCTGAATTCATGCTGACACTGTCCTTGCTTCTGGAGCGCTGGCTGTTTTTGTTCCCCATGGTCCCTGTGTGTGTTGTGAAGCAGCCACAGCTCCAGACTCACTCCTGTGATAGACTACAACCTCATGTTTTGTTTATTAAATTGTATTGAATATATAGCCCATCACGAGAAGGAGCTTGGAGTGGTGGTTACTTTACAACACACGGGGACCATGGGGAACATGAGGATCTACAGTTGAGTGATGCACAAATATACGTACTTGAATGCATCTTCAAGATTCAACTCCTCAGTTTACTGTCACTTTATGGCCTCATTCAGACAAACGGCAGGCTCCACTGTCCCTCTGAGAAGCGATAAGCAGTAGGCCACTTTTCAGAGGGCAGTAGAGCAGTGACTGACCAGCTTTCAGGAGCCATTGTTTCCCTTTTGTTATGCCAATAGGGATTTCTGTTACAATAGCACGCCAGAACCACATGCCAATGCACACGGCAGGATTCTATTGATTGCAATGTTCACATTTGGCATACAGAACTGACTGCCAAAGGTGACTTGTTGTTTAAAATTTGCCAAGCCCATGATAAACAGCATGGAAGAGGGACAGAGCTATTTGGTCCAGAACGAGGAACATTCCCTCCAATAAGGGACTGTTGGGAGCTATGCAAATGATAATACACAGCTTGACATTCACTCAGTTCTATTTAGACGTTCATTGTCATCATTGGTTTGTGGCTGATCTAAAACTGGTGATAATGTGATCAACAAATATCTCATAGTCACTCTGACAGCCCTGTATGACTGATTTTAGAAAGCCCTATCAGACCTACTTTACTTACCCTGTAAGAAGTCAGTAAACACCCTCCAACACCCCCCCACCTGCTGCATTGTCTGTGCAGGAATGCTAATGTCATCAGAGTGTCTGTTTAGGGCTGGAGCTCAGCTACAAGAAATCATGATTCACATTGTGCATGCATGTTAACAGTTCACTGATATACTGTATATGACTAGTGTAAATTTGCTTTTACTGTCCATGAAAGCTAATCAGTGTAAATCTGCTTTTACTGTCCATGAAAGCTAATCAGTGTGTTACAACTGACTGGATACAATAAGAAGCCATAGCAGGTGTCTTCAAACTATAACTACAGCAGGACAACCTTATGCCCAGCTAATAATTCAAATAATCAAACAGGAGAATAAGGGAAACAACATTTGCCTGCTCAATTAAATTACAATGAATTTACTTACAGGGCAATGCTGCACTAGCTATGCAATTCATTAGAAGATCAATTGCTTGTCCCTGTCCCTGAAGTTGGGTATATACGGTTAGAATTTTTTTTTAATGTTTGTATGAAAAATCATGTCAGAAGTTTTGATAAAGCCATTAGAGACTTAGCGAATGTTGGTCGAAATTTTATTTCACTTTAACATTTGATTTTGGATTCAATGGAGTTATCGAAACAAAAACAAACTCACTCATAGGTGTTTGCACAGGGTGTGCCAGGTGAAATGTTCATAACTGTGCACTTATGCTAAAACATTTGGCAGATTATACAGTCTGACAATGTTATATGAATGTCAGATAGGATTGCAAATTTTAGCAAAGTATTATACAAAACAGAAACAACGAATGTAAGCACATGCATAATAAAAGTATTTCCTCTAAAGCCATGGCCATTCAGAGGTCACTGTATTATTGTAAATATATAAATGTTGTTACAGATTTTTAGATTTGGAAGACTATACAGAGAAGCCTATCGTGTTTCTCTTAACTTGAGTCTATCATTTAGAAAGTAAAGGCAGCTGATTTTATCTGACAAAGCAGTTAAAGAAAGAGCAGTAATTATAAAGAGGTTTTTGGTATTTTGATTACGAGGATGGCAGCAGGACAGACATAGCAATGCTACTCCCTTCTTCTGTACAGAACTGTCCATGGAAATAGCAGATTTATCGGAGACAAGCCATCTAGGATTATGTCAAATAACATGACGAATTTATTAAACTGAAAAGTAAATATTTTTCTTTGGTAACTGAATAATTTCCACATCTGTAGAGGTTTTGTACAGTATCACAGGCTAAGGATGACAAAAGACTGTTGTGATTCTTGTTCTTTCCCATAATAAATGTAAGTAGGAGAGGGCTGAGTGAAAATAAAAAAAATAAAAAAATACAATGACCCATCACAGTTTCACCTAAAATAATCAGCTAAGAAAAAGGATGTATTATCAGGCTGACTCCTATTTGTAGAGAATCTATAGGTCCCACTGTATACCACAGAGTGACTACAGAGTTTTTTCCTGCTACAAACCTAAGGACAGTGCAATGGGGAGGGGGAGAGGTACATCAATTTTAAGTCAAACTCTTCATGGACTTGAAAAAGCAGTGACTCAATCACATGAGCAAGAAATTAGTTCTGTACACACACAAAGTCCCCCGATTTTACCATGGTTGCAAGGACATGCCACTTATTTTCTGGTTCAGAAATGTAACTTCCTAATTGGACAATGAATCAGCATTATCATCTCTGTTCAGTTAGCAGGTCGGTGCTCCTGGTTGTGAGTTGTGTCAATCACAAGAGTGGTGGTACAGAATGAAAAATCCTTTATCAGTTTTAACAGCAGACATACACTGCCTGGCCAAAAAAAGTCCTGGATTTATCTAAGCAAATAGATAACAGCTTTCCATCGGATTATAGATCTAGGTTCAACAATGTAGTGTGCCAAAAAAATGAGGTCAGCTGTCTACCTGAATATACTGAATGAACAGGTTTTTCCATCAGTGGATTTCTTCTTCCCTGATGGCACAGGCGTATTTCAAGAGGACAATGCTAGGATTCATTGGGCTCAAATTGTGAGTGGTTCAGGGAGCATGAGACATCATTTTCACACATGGATTGGCCACCACGGAGTCCAGACCTTAACCCCATTTGGGATGCATTGGAGAAGACTTTACACAGTGGTCCGACTCTCCCATCATCACTACAAGATCTTGGTGAAAAAGTAATGCAACTCTGGACTGAAATAAATATTGTGGCATTGCATAAGCTTATCGGAATTATGCCATGGCAAATGCGTGCCGTAATCAAAGTTAAAGACGGTCCAACAAAATATTAAAGTGTGTGACTCTTTTTTTTTGGACAGGCAGTGTATATTTTAACTTTCTATTTAGCTGTTTGCCTGAAACACAGTGCAGCAGCAACTGTATATAGAACTCGCTAATCCTATTGTAAAGCAACATATGATTTTACTGAAGTGTGACAGAATCCAAAACTAAACATTGATTTGCATTTCCATTGACAGAAATAAGAATGATGTCAGATATGTTTTCTGGATGTGGAAGTTTCGAATTAGGAAAATTGCTACATGCAAAAACGCCTGCCTCACATCATCCTAAATAATTCAAAGATTGATTTTCAAAAGCCTACAGGAGCTGACATGCACATCAACAGTGAAGTCAGCTATTGTATCTAGACTTTTGTGAGTGATCTCATATGCATAAGCCCGTTTAGAACAAGTTGTGGTTCTATGTGTATGTTTTGGCAAATAAGCTACAACTCACTGCTTTGTTTGG